CAATACATTTTCCCAGATGTTTTGCACTGATGGAGTTTTCTACACTGGATTATAGGAGTAGCAGCAGCCACTGCTACAGTTAAAGTTCAATAACTGTTTCCATTCTAATCCCTTGTTTCCAGTCCACTCAACTTTCAGGAACTTTAACCCCCTCAAGCTGAAATTTTCCATTCTGTGTGTCTGCCCACTGATTTATTTATGGGGGGGGGGGGCAAGGGGAGGGAGAAGAGAGGTAAATTTTTGCAGATTTCAGAAAATACACAGTTTGGCTGTTTCCAAGGACAAGGAACTAGAAAACAGGCATACTTTTCCATACATAAAAATATTCCTGCAATTTTTATTGAGCAGCCCTATAGTTGAAAGGAATAAAGTTTCAGAAGATTAAATTTGGCAGAGAAATAGCACACCACAGAGGAGATGCATGTTTCCTTGTTCTATAGAAAATAAACGTGTTTTCTAGTTAAACCTTAGAATAAGAGCAATTTTTTCCCCCATATGCAAAGTACACAGTTAAGGAAGTATTTATTGGGCATGCAACATCTGCCTTCTTAGTTGCCTAGTGAAAAGCATAGGGAAGCATATTGTTAGAGACACCAGTTTAAGAGCAGTTAGTGCAGGACTTATGACCTAGATGACCTTGGTGCCCTGCAGAATACCCAGAACTGAGGTAAAATTCTAGTATTTCCTTGTTTACATTCTGGTCCATTTCCTAGAGTTCAGTGAGTCAATATCTGCCATACTTCAATATAAAAAGGATGATTTCATAAACTCTGGAAGGAGGCTCATGCTCTCCGAAGACTTCTGAACCTAAATAATTTAAAATAAGAAACAAGAATGGCATTTTACACCAGCTTCAGAATTGAAGAAGGACAACATTTACTCCAATAGCTTTTATCTGTGCTTTTGACAGGAGAAGTTAACACACAGTGCAGCTCTCAGCTGTAGGTGTAAATGTCGTCATCAACTATTGCTAGAAAAACTCAGGGCCCTGACCTTTAATCTTAAGCAAAGACAAAACTGCTTTCCAGAATACGTAGTGGTTGTTAGGTCAACTCATAGTTCTTGTCTTCACCTTTAAAATAATCTATTCTAGCATCTAGGATTTTCTTCTCAAATGTTATGTGCTTTTCATCCAAAGGATTCACAAATCACTTGAAAAACTAATTTTGATATAGTAATATAGCTTATGTGAAATACAAACACTTCTGGGGTTGACAACTGCACCCTAACACTTTGAGGAAATGGGAGATACAAGAGTGCAGAAGTAGGTGTAAAAGCATTGATACTAGAAATAACATGGAATAAAGAGATCTGGACCTCTGGACAACTGAGAACGAATTCCTTTCTGAAAGGAACATATTTAGAGTGTTTGATTTGAAGTCTATTTTGGTAAAGGTCTGTGTACTTTGGAAGCCAAGTACTCCAATTCCTTTGTATGTTCTGGTTGCAGAATGTTTACCACTGTTTAACAGAGTTGTTTCTGGCTCCGTTCTCTTAGATTCTAAACTATTATTTTCAACCTGCCAAGGTCAGAGCAAAATGTTCAAGTTTTTCCACAGACATGTCTTCATGATCGTGGATGACGATGGCCTGGGAGACCAATAGTAATGCAATAAGAATTACAGATTCTTTACCTTGTTTTACTTTGCAAATCACCCAGACAATATGAAAAAATGGGAGAAAAGTACAGACATCCTTAAAAGGAAAGAGAAGGTATGTATCTTTCATATCATTCACCGTCTATTTGAAGAGAATTATGACGGGGATTTTTTCAAAAGAGACTATGGAAATTTGGTGCTCAAGTTCCACTGAATTAAATGGGAGCTGGATGCCTAATTCCCTTGGGTTCCTTTGAAAATCCCCATCTAAAAATTTAGACAAGTTTAAGTGAAAAAAAATCTGATCTCTTGCTTCTTGTCGTGCAATTATTTATTATTTTTACAAAAATGTTTTTCAGTGCTTTACAAGGTATAGGACCAGAGAGGGAAGAAATGATAGAGAAGGCTTTAAAGAACAAAAAATCCCCTCATTATGAATCACTGTTGGTAGGTAGACTCTTTGGGCTGTGGTACTAGTGGTAGGTAGACTTTTTGGGCTGTGTGAACGTAAGTTGCTTTCAGGTGCATTTTGACCCTGGTTACAGAAATGTAAATTGCCCTCTTCCGTCTCTTCTTCTATGAAGAATCAGCTTGGACAGTATTATGGAATCTGATGAAGGAAGTGACAAGGTCATAAATACACCTTGTTTCCCAGGAATAGTAGAAAATGAAGACCAGGACTAATCAGAAAGAGAAGTTCTTGAGAACTACACAGTGTAAAAGAGGAAGGTAGAGCCATTTCTTGAGTAGCTACTGTTCCAAATCATGCTTCCTTTACAAATAGAGTGATCATGGATTATATTCTCTCTTTATAAAAGGGCTTCACATTCATGATGCTTTGAGTGTGATCGCAGATCTCTGACTCATGACAATACTATTAAATATATATATAAATTCAATGGCAGAGAGGCCAGAAGAAAGATTAGATGGGAACCTATTAGTCTATTGACCTATAATACATTTTAAAATGACATTTCGAACACGTGCCTTAAGAAGACCCGGTCAAGAATTTGAATTTGGTTTCCCTTTTAGGCTTAATTATGCCTTAGTTGATCATTTATATTATGAGTGGTTGAAAAAGAACCTGTACTGACCTCTCGCTTGCAAAGCTGGAAAAATTTCCTCTGGCTCTTGATACAGCCAGAAGAATTGTCCATTAAATCTCACCAGACAAGATGTGGGAGTAAGTCTATATTTTCTGTTCAGAGGCTTATGTCTCATAAGAGAGCTGGACTGAGGAAACAGGTTACGTTTTGATGAATTCCTGAAAGTTTTCTCCAAGGATATTTTCAAGAGTCTCCGTTGAAAATGACATAATTGTATTAATGCATTCAGGAGCATCTTTGTTAGGGATGCTTATTTCTTTTAGAGTTCCCTCCTCTTTTTCCAATATTTACTATTACCATTAGAATGGGCAATGGATCTGGGCATGATAGAAGAGCTCAGGTTAAGATTATTCAGTTTGTTGAAATTTGTAGCTAATTTGACTGTAAAATATAAGTATGGGCTCAGATTTTCCAAAAGTGACTAGTGATTCTGAATAGCTTCCTTGATACACTTTGAAAGGCTCTGATTTTCTCAAAGTGCCAAACCCCATTTCTCTGAAAAGCCCTATTATGTGTTTTAAGTTGGATACTCAAATCACATTTTAAAATCCTGACCATAATTTTTTTTAAAGCCCAATAGTGTGATAAATGAATATTTTTCAACAAAAATCTTGAGTGCATTTGTTCCATTTGAGTACATTAATATCTTTCACAACCAACTGGTGGCCCATGTAAGAGCCTGGGAGGAAGGATCAATTTGGGAAGAAAGAAGTATTTCCATTTTGCAGTCAATTTAAACTAATTTAGTTCTCTCAAATTTGTATTTTAATATTGGCTCATTTGAAAAGTGACATTAACTCTCATGTAGCAGTAAAACTTGACAGTAATATAACACTTTTGTTCAGAATCTTCTTTGATTAAATAATGTGGATTTAGTCGTGATGGCATGCATGTTTCCCTTGGAAATGCATAGAAAGTTTGGGAGTAGGGGAGAAGGAATCATAGTTTTTCCCAGAAGATGGAAAAGACTGTAAAGAAAAGATGGCAAGTCAGGACACTTCCTAACTCAAACATACTATTATTGTGTCCAAGGATACCTAGAAAAGAAATAGGGACATCCTCCAGAAGCAAAAAGGAAACTAGGAGAGCTGGGTAAAGCACTGGTGTTCAGAAGCCTTTATTTAATCTAAAAATAATGTATAGGCTCTCTGTAGTGGTTTTAAAGCTATGCCACAGTCATAAGCACTCAGGGAGAAAAGTGCCACCTTTTACTGCAGGATTACTGATGATATGGTCCATTGATAGTAGGAGCTACTAGACAACCTGCTGCACTGCTGGGGAGAATTCACCAACTACAGTAAAGTGACAGGTTTCAGAGTAACAGCCGTGTTAGTCTGTATTCGCAAAAAGAAAAGGAGTACTTGTGGCACCTTAGAGACTAACCAGTTTATTTGAGCATGAGCTGTAGCTCACGAAAGCTCATGCTCAAATAAATTGGTTAGTCTCTAAGGTGCCACAAGTACTCCTTTTCTTTTTACAGTAAAGTGGTGAGCTACGGCTTCTTGATTACAACTATTTAGATCACCCACTAACAGATTAGAGGTATGAACTAAACCACTCTGCCACTAGAATGACAAAGACCTTAAGTGGTAGGTGTGCCAAAACAGTAGGCTGAGCAAAGCTCCTTTGACAGATACACTCTGAAATAGTTGTTAGGAAGTTATAAAGAAAAGGAAACAGGTTTCAATTAGTGAAAAGCCAATTTATTTGGAGTCCCCAGCAGTTTGACAAAGAAACACTAACACACACTGCATTGAAGTGCTGCTGTGAGCCTAAAGCTGCTTCCATACTAAGGCAGTGAACTAGGATCAGAGTCTAGAGCTGTGGCAGTCTAGCTGAGGAGTTATTAGAATTTTAATTATTCATAAAGTTACTCCACTACTGTGAAATGAGCTGGCTAATCCAGCAGGGATGCCCAGACAAATGGATGCCTACACATGACAAAGTTAAATTCCTATAGTGGGTCCTGTTAGCCACTGTTTGCTCTGTATTACTTCTTAATTTGAAGAGAATTTTATAACCCATTCCATATTAAAAAGTGTAATTATTTTCATGTCCCATCCATTCCCCAGCCCTAAGAATCGTTTCATCATCTGTAAATTTCCATTAATTTAATTGGTTTACTCTTTTCAAATATTTGTTGAGTGTTTCAATGTAGATACAGGGTTGCTAAAGTCTGGTGCATGCCAACAATTTATTCTTGTACAATAGGATGGAATCTATTTTACTATTTTCCCCTTGTAAACAGGAAAAGATTCTGAGATATAATGTTAGATTTCTCCTTTGAAACACTTACCAGTAATTACCATGCTGCTCATGTTAGAGTTCGGACTATTGAGTACACTGCCTGAAAGAAGTTCGTCAGATCCTCTCTAAAAAGAAAGAGACAGTAAGAGTTTTTTCCCCCTGTATTTTTGTTATCTTTAATGTTGATATTAAAAATATCAGTTTGACAGGGCAAATCCCTTCAGAGAGCTTTAAATGAACATTACATAACCTATTAAGATTTGAGAGATTCTCCCTTTTCAGAAAAGTGACAGTAAATAAAAAAATTAAAATCTAGATAATACAGTATATTTACATAGCATCTCTCAATTCAAATAATTCCATACACACAATCACTTCATCCACAGCTGAAATGCAACCTCCAGGGACCACAAGAGCTGTCCAACAGTACACAACTTCTGAAATATTTTAGAACAGGAAGTTATTAATATTTTATCCACTGAAACTAAATGGGGAATTCAGGCAAATAGTGCAATTAGAATTTGACCAAAGTGCTAGGGCAGTACTACTATTAGAAACAGTTCAAAGCAGACTGTGGTGTTTTGCACTTCTTTATAATACATAAAGGAACCGTGAAAACAATTTTTTTTTTTTGGTTGGAGGATGGATTTCTTTTTGGTTTAAACTTCACAAAAATAAGAAGAACATCATCTATTTTTTCTTAGTCTTCTTTTTGGATGATTTCAATGTAGAACGCAGATACCAGAGGAGATTTGGTGTTGAATCCTTAAAGAGGGATCCTTTTCCCCCAAGCATTTTGAGTTAAATAGGTGTTAAAAATAAGTCCGAAGCAGCCTAAATACTTAAAAATATATATATTTCACCTCTCAGTGATCAGGTTTCATTTCCTTCCAGGATAGAAAAAAACACCCAGACAAGTATGTCTAATGTAAAACAAGTATGATTTTGTGTTTGTTTGTTTTAAATCTTTCAGGCCTTCCTCATAAGCCAAAATGAATTTAAAAGGACATAAGCCTCCCCTCCTTTGCATGTCATCATTAAAAGGCTACTGGATTTTTTATGTCCAAAATAGGTTAGGACCTCACTTTTGTGTCTTAATTCAAAGGTATCTCCAATAGCACCAATGCCCTCAGCACCAACCCAGGCCATTGGGTCATTACTAAAAAGGATGAGTGCCAGCTACTGAATCACCAAATATTACTCTGCAAGAAATCTATGTTTCCATTCTGAGTACTGGCCACAAACTGCTTTACTTACAAAATCTTTATAATAATCAAGATGTTTCAGACTGTGCTGCCTTGAGACAGGTATTATCTACCTCTGTTTGAAAAGCATCCTGTATATTTTGGATAGTTCTTCATTCTAAATAATAAATACATACTAAACTAATCTGAGGATATCACAATACTAAGTGGTATGCTTATACCAGGATGCATATAATCAAGCCCAAACTGTAATATTAGTGTATATATTATATATGCATGTGTATATGAAGAGGAATATCAAAACATATAACACATTTTGAAGTATTCCATATCTAAGATCCATAACATCCTAGACAACACACCAAGCCATTCCGGTCACTAAGCTTATTCAGTTTTGAGCACTAGTTCTCAAAGTTATTTACACAGACTATTCCTGAATAATTTTAGTTTGCCTCACACCCTTGTTGATTCTAGATTCTGCTCTACACATTTTTGGGTTCAAATTGGCAACGTGATTTGACTTAAATTTAATAAAAGAAAACAGCAGAGAGTCTTGGCACTGTGTCAAGGTTCCTCCCCCACTCTGAACTCTAGGGTACAGATGTGGGGACCTGCATGAAAAAACCCCCTAAGCTTATCTTTACCAGCTTAGGTCAAAACTTCCCCAAGGTACAAAATATTACACCCGTTATCCTTGGAATGGCCGCTACCACCACCAAACTAATACTGGTTACTGGGGAAGAGCTGTTTGGACGCGTCTTTCCCCCCAAAATACTTCCCAAAACCTTGCACCCCACTTCCTGGACAAGGTTTGGTAAAAAGCCTCACCAATTTGCCTAGGTGACTACAGACCCAGACCCTTGGATCTTAAGAACAATGAACAATCCTCCCAACACTTGCACCCCCCCTTTCCTGGGAAATGTTGGATAAAAAGCCTCACCAATTTGCATAGGTGACCACAGACCCAAACCCTTGGATCTGAGAACAATGAAAAAGCATTCAGTTTTTACAAGAAGACTTTTAATAAAAAATAGAAGTAAATAGAAATACAGAAATCCCCCCTGTAGAATCAGGATGGTAGATATCTTACAGGGTAATTAGATTCAAAAACATAGAGAACCCCTCTAGGCAAAACCTTAAGTTACAAAAAAGATGCACAGACAGAAATAGTTATTCTATTCAGCACAATGCTTTTCTCAGCCATTTAAAGGAATCATAATCTAACACATACCTAGCTAGATTACTTACTAAAAGTTCTAAGACTCCATTCCTGTTCTGTCTCTGGCAAGAGCAGCATACAGACAGACACAGACCCTTTGTTCCTCTCCCTCCTCCCAGCTTTTGAAAGTATCTTGTCTCCTCATTGGTCATTTTGGTCAGGTGCCAGCGAGGTTACCTTTAGCTTCTTAACCCTTTACAGGTGAGAGGAGCTTTCCCCTGGCCAGGAGGGATTTCAAAGGGGTTTACCCTTCCCTTTATATTTATGACACGCCCCCCAAATCTCAGCTAGAGTGAAACACTGGCTGGGATTTCTTCCTGGAGCTCTAGGAAAACAGAGTTAATAAGACACATGCATCTCTAAATATACTACCAAGTACATAAAGACTAACAATATTTTCCACATCTCAAGGACGATTTTAACCAGTTGATTCTGGGAAACTTTCACGGGAGAGTGCATCAGCCACTTTGTTAGAAGCTCCTGAGATGTGTTGGATGTCGAAATCAAAATCTTGGAGAGCTAAACTCCACCGAAGAAGTTTTTTGTTAGTTTCTTTGACGGTGTGAAACCACTTTAGTGCAGCATGGTCGGTTTGCAGGTGGAAACGCCGTCCCCAAACATATGGGCGTCGCTTTTCCAGAGCGTAGACAATGGCATAACATTCTTTTTCAGTGACTGACCAGTTGCTTTCCCTCTCAGACAGTTTTTTGCTGAGAAACACTACAGGGTGGAATTCTTGATCAGGTCCTTTCTGCATTAAAACTGCTCCCACACCACGCTCGGACGCATCTGTGGTTACTAGGAACGGTTTGTCAAAGTCTGGGGCCCTTAGTACAGGGTCAGACATGAGTGTCGCTTTAAGCTTGTTAAAGGCCTTCTGACACTTTCCGGTCCACTGAACAGCATTTGGCTGTTTCTTTTTGGTTAGGTCTGTCAGTGGGGCAGCGATTTGGCTGTAGTGCGGTACAAATCGTCTGTAATAACCGGCCAAGCCTAAGAAGGATTGAACCTGTTTCTTTGACTTTGGGACAGGCCACTTTTGGATAGCATCCACTTTGGCCTGTAGGGGGCTGATAGTTCCTTGACCCACCTGGTGTCCAAGGTAAGTCACTCTGTTTAGGCCTATTTGACACTTCTTAGCCTTAACAGTTAGTCCTGCCTCCCTTATGCGCTCAAGGACTTTTTGTAGATGTTCCAGGTGGTCTGCCCAGGAATCCGAAAATATGGCCACGTCGTCAAGGTAGGCGACTGCATATTCTCCTAATCCCGCTAGGAGACCATCTACAAGTCTTTGGAAAGTGGCGGGTGCATTTCGCAGCCCGAAAGGGAGTACATTAAATTCATACAGCCCGAGATGTGTGATGAAGGCTGACCTTTCCTTGGCAGATTCATCTAGCGGTACCTGCCAGTACCCCTTGGTTAAGTCCAAGGTAGAGATGAACTGGGCCCGTCCCAGTTTCTCTAATAGTTCATCTGTGCGTGGCATTGGATAGTTGTCTGGGCGAGTTACAGCATTTAGCTTACGGTAGTCCACGCAAAAACGTATTTCCCCATCTGGTTTGGAAACTAGAACCACTGGAGATGCCCATGCACTTTCAGAGGGGCGGATTACCCCCATCTGTAACATATCCTGGATCTCCCGTTCTATAGCAGTTTTAGCTTGAGGAGACACCCGGTAAGGTTGGACCCTAATTGGGTGAGCATTACCTGTGTCAATGGAGTGGTATGCCCGTTCAGTCAGTCCTGGGGTGGCTGAGAACGTTGGCGCGTAGCTAGTGCACAGCTCCTGGATCTGCTGTCGCTGCATACGCCCAAGGGTCATGGAGAGGTTCACCTCTTCCACACCACCACCACATTTCCCTTCATAGTAGACACCTTTGGGCCACTCAGCGTCGTCTCCTCCCTGGGCTGTAAACTGACAAACCTTTAATTCTCTGGAATAAAAGGGCTTTAGAGAATTAATATGGTACACCTTAGGCTTCCGGTTGGAGGTGGGGAATGCTATGAGATAATTAACAGCTCCCAGGCGCTCCTGGACCGTGAATGGCCCTTCCCACGATGCTTCCATTTTATGGGCCTGGAGCGCCTTTAAGACCATGACCTGGTCTCCTACTTTGAAGGAACGCTCTCTGGCATGTTTATCATACCAGGCTTTTTGCTCTTTTTGAGCATCCTGTAAGTTTTCTCTAGCAAGGGCTAAAGAGGTTCGGAGGGTGTTCTGTAGGTTGGTTACAAAGTCCAGAATGTTAGTTCCTGGAGAAGGTGTAAATCCCTCCCATTGCTGCTTCACCAACTGCAATGGCCCCTTAACCTCACGGCCATATACAAGTTCAAATGGGGAAAACCCTAAACTGGGATGTGGTACAGCTCTGTAGGCAAAGAGCAACTGCTGCAACACTAGGTCCCAATCATTGGAGTGCTCATTTACGAATTTACGTATCATGGCCCCCAAAGTTCCATTAAACTTCTCCACCATGCCATTTGTTTGATGATGGTAAGGAGTGGCAACCAAGTGATTTACCCCATGAGCTTCCCAAAGGTTTTTCATAGTTCCTGCCAGGAAATTAGTCCCTGCATCGGTGAGGATGTCGGAGGGCCAACCTACCCTGGCAAAAATGTCTGCTAGTGCCTGGCACACACTTTTAGCCCTGGTGTTGCTTAGAGCTACTGCTTCCGGCCATCGGGTGGCAAAATCCATGAA